TGTTAAGGAATAGTAGAGAATAGATTATATTATTTGAAATGCAAAATCCCATTTTTTTTCATGGAAAAGCTGCAGTGGAGAATAGGTTGGAAAGACATTGCAAAGTGGAGAAATAACAACTGTATTTTGTTATATTTTACTTGCACAATTTTACTTAATTGCAAAATTTAATAAATTTGTTATAACTATATAATTAATGAGCATTCAAAAAAATATCTTTTCTGTGGTTGTCCTTTTCTCTGGAGTGATCCCTACCTCTCCAGTATATGCCAAACCCCAACTCTACTATCTTTAGGAAATCTGCTGGCTCTTCCTCCAGGCATTAGGACCCAATTGAGTGAGAGCGCCCTTTAGCTTGCTTTCCTATATTGCTTGGTCACATTTTGTATTTTTATATTTTATATGTTCAGTGTATATGGGTTTTTTTCTGTTTCATTTTCATTTATTGTTCATTTTTATGCTATATCCCACCCAGAATGGGCAGTCTTATAAATTTCAACAATAAATAATAAATAGTATATCTGGCATTTTGAAGTTGTCCTTTCATATATTTGCAAACATTTGATATTTATTCCTTGGTTCCATGCTCCAGTTTCTACATATTTATAGCTTGAGTAGTTAGATTACATTAACCTTCCATAAGCTCAGAAAAAGATTTGTTTATACTACGCAGAAAAGATACTAATTTTTTTTGGCCTTATGAAATCAGTCCTGATGTGATTTATGAATGTACCATATTTCGGATCAATGAGTACTGTAGTACATTTTTTTCTATTTCATGTTAAGATAATAAACATTAATATTTAGATTGAGCCTTTAATAATCATACTGAATAGCTCATTTCTTCCTCTTAATTATTGAAGCCCGATATCTAATTTTTGTTTACATTATTTTCAAGCTATGAGTTGAATCAGTATAATCTTTAAAGCTGATGCTAACTCTGATCCTATATCATTTCCTTAATCTTTTCACTCCAAATATGGAAAGGAGTTTGATAGAGAAAAGAAGCTATGTATATTTGACAGTAAAGCACACTGAGAATTCAACAAGCTCTTTGAAGGTCAATTAACCAGAAAATAGGCTAAAGACCAGGTTTTCCATTGGATTAGTGACCAAAGAAAGATCCCCTGAATAATCAAAGCAGTCTTGGAGTTAGAACACAAAGACAATTATCAGGTCTTAGGGACATAAGTTTAATAACAGAATTCTTTGAACCTCAAAGCATTGCAGAAATCTTTTTCTTACTATGGAACATTGATTCTAGTTTCTTATTTGGGTGTTGTAGGGTTTAACAAGTTTTAGGGCTGCCATTTTCAGAAGGCACATATATTTATCTAAAATCTTTGGAGATAGTTTATGCTTTATCTTTCTTAATTATTTTTATAGCACTCATACATTTCAAATTTAGTTTCCTCTTGGATTCCTTGAGGCATTTGAGTTTAAAAGCATGTAATAAGATCTTAATTTTATGGGCTTTAAAGTAGAGGTTTAATATGTGTATTTTTATATGATTCCGTCATCTTTTACTGCATCATATAATACAATTTTGATCTATTAGACATGCTTGCCAATATATCTGACTCTATAGTTTAGTGATTCCCAGCCATTGGCCCCCAGATTTGACTATTAGAACAGAAGAACTCTTATGAACCAACAAAATACAGTAGTTACCAAGAAAAGACTTGATAAAGTTTGTGATTTTTTTTACCATGGAAAATAATGTTTCACAGGAAGCCTTTTTGCATTTTTTTTTTTTTTTACTATGGAAGATAACAATTTATGTGCACTAGTTCATGGAGAACTTTCTTATAATAGGAACTGACATGTTTGCTGACCCTAACCACAAAATTGGACTTGAATTTATAGAGGATTAAATTCCAGTTAATATATTGAAAACATGTATGGCCAGATGTCTGCTACCACCTAGTTAAGACGCAGATGCCATTGGGCTGAAGATTTTTTTTTTTTTCACATAAGCCATTTTTATGTTTGCATTTGAAAATGAAATCTTTCAAGATTACTAAAATCTGGTTTCATTAAGGAACATTCTGTGGGAATTTTAGTTCATGTAATTTTAACAGAAATTGTGTGCACATTATTGGTACTTAAAACAATTCAAGCTTATTGACAGCTTTGCTATCATACTGAAATGTGGCAATTATTTTATGCCAACGCATTCTGAGCAGTATGCATTTTTTACTTGTTGTAAATCTCCCAAAAAAGATAAATTGATAATCAAATAAATAAGAAAATTGTTACCTGTGAGAAATAACACTCTGCATACCCATTTTGGTTAATTCCTATTTGCATATTAATTATTAGGTCAGTCTGTTAGCATGCATCTTCTGTTGTGAACAGAGGAGCACTTTTGCTGAGAAATTAGCCTTCCATGATAGTTTTGTAATTTGTAAATTTTAATTGTTTTTTGTAAAGTAGTAGAGATTTAAAAGGATACTGCAGTGTAACTTTTAAATAATCGTAGCTAGGGTATGAAAAGAGATTCCTCCAGCCTGCATTGCATAGTATTGTATAAGTCCTTTTAAAGTAATATTTTTCCAACTCTGTCCCTGGACATGTTTGCAAGCAAACAAGTGATTTAGTGGCGACCATTATATTATATATTGACATTATTTCAGTTCTGTATTGTTTATTCCTTGTGGCAGAACCCATAAATCTAAATAAAGTGGTGTTGCTATAATTCAGCTTCTCACATCATGCTGTTTTCACAAGTACACATTTGCGAGACAACTAAAGACACTATGAGATTATTTCTGATCCACTAAGCTTGAGATAATTTATGGAAATGTTTTCTAATACAGTAGCTGATTCTTTTTTTAAAAAAAATGCTTCTTTGAACTCTTGCATTAATCAGCTATATTTAATATTAATCATTTTACAAATACTCCTTCTAGTGAACTTTTAAGGATTATTTTCTAGTCCTTTCCCCTTTGCCTTGTGCATGACTTTACAATGTAATACAACTGAAAAATCTCAGAATGTGGCAATATAAGCCTACTAATAATAAGTTTCTTTACAAACCCAATGTGAGATAGAAAGATATAAACAGACAGATAATGTTTTAGGATGAAACATCCGAGGAAGTGCAGTTGTGAGACCCACATATTTTATACTGTAATTCACAACCATAGATTATTAATCTAATGAAAAACATTTCAAATTAATTTCACAAAATATTTCATCGAAGTGGAATCCTGTGGACATTTTCTCAGTACAGTATTTACATTATTACTTTAAAATATCATCATTAAATTATGAAATTCTATTGAGATTACAGTGAAAAAAAATGCAAGCGGGGTTATAATACGGCTATTTCAGTTGTAATTATCTGAATCTGTAGCCTAATTTTACCTAGTAATTAAAAGTTTTAACCTTTTAATTAACTACTTGGGCACCTTGTTTTGAAAATGTAGATTTGAATTTTAAACAGGTTTTGTTTCCTGACTTCTAAAAAAAGGCTTGACTTTTCAAATGCTTTTTTTTCTCTCGATTCTGTTAACACTCTAAAGTGGGAAAGCATTTTCGTTGATTTGCCACCATTCCAGCTGAAATGATCTTAGGTGCTCTTTAGAGTTTATCTCTGATTTCTGTTTGTTCCTAAAAATACTACCTTTATCATCCCTTTATTTGCTTTCAGACTCTGCTTTCTTTCCTGGTCGCTGTGCTGAGATTTTTGCCAGAGGACAGAGCATTGGGAACTTGGGGGTTCTTCATCCTGATGTTGTCACGAAATTTGAACTCACCATACCCTGTTCTGCTCTAGAAATCACAATTGAGCCTTTCCAGTAAGAAGAAAATCCTCTTTTGGTCCAACTTCATACTCCATTTTATTTTGTCTTGCTACTGCCTGGTAGTTCTCTGTATTTCAAAGTATTAGATCAATGTACATTAGGCTTTATTAGGTTTTTAAAATGTTTCTTTCTGTAATGAAAGGTTTTATTAATCAGTTAAAGGCTCTTTTTAACACTTAAGGACATCACTCTTTTTTAAAAAATAAGGCAAATTCAGTCAAGTATCGTAAATATGTATTGGCTAAATATTTTGTGTTTCCTCCAATAGTTTCAGTGATTGAAATGTAGACTGTTAACTTATTGCAGCTGCTCCAAATAGAGTGATAATTTATAAAAACAAATGTGAACTATATTGAGAGGTTAAATTTTTCCTGATTAAAAGCATACATGTTTCTTGAAAGCTTGTATGTAAGCTTTTTTCCCCATGGTAGCTATACCATAAATTTTTAGTCTATTAAAAAGGGGGTCAAAATAAATATATTTGCCTACTCATTTATCCTTAGTTGTAGTAGAGACAATTGCAAGCAGTTATATGTTACAGAGTAAATTATCCATTGTTTCTGCTTTTTCCTATACTATCAATGAAGAAAATAGAATAAGAAAGCTCTGTCATTTGTATATAGTTGCAAATGCCTAAAAGATATTTTTGTCTTCTAGACAAGTTGATGTTTTCTTGCATTTTCATATTCAGTATATAAGTTTTTTGATGAAAAAATGACCAACTAATGATCCTAGGTGAACCCCCATTTTGGATTAATTGTGCGATGTTGAGATTACAGGGAATTGAAGCAAAATTTTGGACAGTACTGATTTATGTTGAGAAGTTCACTTGTTAAATAAACTCCCAATACCTTTAATGCATAGACTAGTTGGATGGAGTGATCAAATTAATGAAGGCAAGGTTCTAGGATTTGTATGCTTGCTTTAAATGTTAATCCCGAGCCCACTGCCTAATGTTCAGTATCTAATTCTATATGTTTGCAAGCAAGCTTGTTTAACATTTTAATTCAGATTCTACATGAACTAAAAGTGTAACCAGAAAATACTGCATTTGTTAAAGCTTCCTTGCTAAGAGCATTTGGCATTTATACTTTGAAATAACCTCTTGCTATACAGTATACTACAGATACAGATATGTGACATACGTTTGAATTTTAAAAAATCTAGAAACACATAATTTGAATGTAGCAATTGATGGTATTTTTTCAGATTATATATTTAGCATATTACAGTAAAATGATACAAAAATAGAAATTGTATAATTTATAAATCAGAACATATACATGCAGTCTTGTTGAACAGCATAGACTAGGTGCTATTCATAAAAACAGTTATGTAAGCAAACCCAAAGCTGTTGGTAAGACAACGTATAGTTCAGAAATAGAATTTCCCTACTTAATTAAATAATGCATTGGTCATTACAATAAAACCATGATTTAGCATATCCTTCAGATGTCTGTTAAATTCCAATGTATATAGTTTACCTCATTTATGTAATTATATTACATTAGTGATGTAAGTGAATAGAGGTGAAGTCCAAACAAAAACATTTTTTATCTAAAATCTGTTAATATCTAAGAAATGGAGGTTTTGCTGTATTCTGTTCCAGATATAATGTGAATACAAAAGAATAATTGATCAGTAGCATTACTGAACTATTCAGTCTCCATAAGTTCTTTCTTATAATCAATCACCTTATCCATCCATGCTCATCTGTAATGTTTAGAACATGAATAAGCAGGAAAAAACTTAGAAACAACTCAGCACCTTTCTCTTGTATTAGCATTACAATGTAAAATGCTGCTTCCTTTATGCTGTCAATGCTACATTCCTGAGAAACGTCTATAGTATTTTGATATAAGAATATGTCTTCATACAATCAATATCTTTCAGACCGCTTCTTATTCAAAATACAAATCAGAGAAAAATGAAAATTCAGACCTGTATTCTTATGATACGTAAGATAAAAGGTTAAGTTGGAGACTGGGAGGGTCATTTAAACCCTAGAGTAATAGTGCAGCATCCTCAAGGAAGATCATGGGCTATACTTATTCCCATTCACATATGTTTACAAACTGTCGAAGACTGATACTGGTTTCCCTCAATGCAAACTTGCAAAGCTGGTAACTCTCAGCTGCTAACTCTAGAATTAATCACCATTCCTGTATATTTTTCTTTTTTGGTCTGTGGCCATCTCTCTCACACTGAATACTAGCATAACTAAATCCTATCTTTAGTATCCAGTATTAGTAATCCTAAAGAGTTTATGCAAAAGGCGTATTCTTTCCTCCCATCACCCCAACCCTCATTTATTGCAAATATTTTTAATCTGCAGCCCCTAATCTGGACAATTAAAAAAACAAATGCATAGCATTCAATTTAAACCAAAAAATGTATATACTAGTGGCACAAACATTGTAGCACTGAGACCAATAGAAGAATAGGTTATAAATTTATAGGGTACTTCAATTTTTATTTGCCGCATACCTACAGCATCACTGTTAGAAACCTTGTGCCAAGAACATAATGATTTACGAACAACAGTTTTGGCAATCTGCCGTGTGATCATTAAAAGACCAATCCCCACTATAAATTTTGCAAGCACTAGCAAGATGATTTCAATAGTGATAGAAGAAACACTGTGTGGGACATCTTTAGATGCGGCATTTGAAACATAGAGATTATTTGCCCAAAATCCAATAATTGCTCCTGCAGAAGCTCCCAGAATAGTGGTGGTATCCGCTCTAGTTGGACTGTAATAATCTAGTCTGGGATAATTGTAGCACAAAAAGAGGGGCACAATGATGCAGAATGCTGGACAGAAAGGGCTGGTGAGCATCAAGTGATCCACGATATCCCAGGTAGGACAGGCAATTGCAGTCAAAAATAAGGAAATTAGACTGCCAACAATGACGTCCTGGAAAAACACATAAAGATATTACCATTTGTCTCTGAATGCAATCCCTAGCTTGAATTGAAAAACAGATTTGGAACATTACAGGTCTAGTACACATAAGAATAAATACCTTGAGAATAAATGTCAAAGAGAAAAATAACTAAAATGCAAAAGCTTGGTCTGATGTATGTCCTTCAACTCTTACTACTTCATTGAAGCAAAATTTAACTGAGGAATCTTCATCACTTTCACACTCTTCTTGGGGGGAGGGCAGGAGAGGATTTCCGCAAGAGCAGTAAATATGTTGCATTTGCAGAATTATGTATGTATTCATATATCACTGTATGCAAACCCACAATTTAGATTTGAACCTTTTTGCTGAAAGGCAATGAAATAATGCTTCTTAAAATAAGATTTCTGATGATTGGAAAGGAAAAGTCAGCTTTCTGTGAGCACCAGCCTTTCCCTCCCATAATCTCTTACTTTAATAATTCAAAGGTGCTTTTTCCAAAGGCAACTAGACTTTCTTGGGTTATTCCTTTGAAGATATCTCACTTCTCATCCAAGAATCTTCTTCTGTTCTGAACTACTTTGGGACAACCATTTCCTGGATGATTGAGAATCTCCATAGACACTCAGTTTAATAACTTCCTAATTTCTGTGCAAGAATTATTGTTCCTTTCTTAATTTATTTTTATGGGTAACTTTAGGCCAAACAATTGATGTGAGCCCACTTCCTAGTATCTGTTATTTTATTTAATGAAATCTGAATTATTTGTGACTATACTAAATCAATTATCTTATTTTTATCTATTTTTCATATTTCTGAACTACCCATTTTCCCCAAAGAGGGTCTCTGGAGATTGTTCAGAGAGGGACTCTAGAAGATCAAAGTCATCTTGGGTGACTACATTTACTAATTAAAATAAAAGACCAGTTTTTGAATGCTTAATTATTACTATTATAATCTACACCAGTGATAGCGAACTTTTTAGAGACCGAGTGCCCAAGCTGTAATCCAAAACCCACTTATGCATCGTCGGGTGCCGGGTGGGTGTGGCCCATTGGCTGGGCGTGGCTGCTGTGGTAACAGCAGACTGGGTGGGACTAAAAAGTTTAATCAATCATTTCCAACTTTGCAAGATTTTTTTTCCCGCGAGAAGTTGAAATTGATTGATTGAACCTTTTTTTTTTTGCACACGGCGGCAGAGGCCTAAAGCAAAAAGGTTTTATAAAACCCAGATGAAAGCCTAGGACTGGGGCGTCGGCACGCGTGCCCGCAGAGAGGGCTCTGAGTGCCGCCTCTGGCATCTGTGCCATAGGTTCGCCACCACTGATCTACACTAAAGAACAAGTGTCTTCAAATCTGGCCCTTTTATGACTTGTGGACTTCAGCTCCAGAATTCCTCAGCCAGGCATGCTGGGGCCAAGTTTGAAGATCCCTGCTAAAGGGCCAAGTTTGAAGATCCCTGCTAAAGAAGTTTAAAACATCAGTAATGCTAGTACATATCTCAAATTACACACCTTCCCTATTCTAGTAAATTTCGGAGATACTGAATTATAGTTCCTATTGCTAGCAGGGATGGTGTAGTAGTCAAAATCTTTAGAAAGCATCATTCTGGGGAGGTTAGTATAACATTCTCCACAGAAAATCCATGATTCTATATATTTCTTTAAATTATTATTGATTTTAGATACTAAATCCTTAATTTGGAGGTCGGTAGTCCTGTATCCTGGAAGAAACTAAAGTGATTCATCATAATATCCCTGCATTAAATGCCAAGGATTATTTCAAACATTATGGTGCTCCTTATGGTCTTACAAAGGCCTATAGTTCTAGAGGCACTGGTTATTTTGTTTTCATCTTCCACTACTATAATAGGATATACAATAAGTATACTGCATCCAAATGGTTGTAATTAGGTATACCAGAGTATAGCTAGGTTAAACCTGTGTATGTATATATGTTTATGTTATTAGTATTGGATTTAATAGATTTCTTCAGAGAATTGCTTTTGGAACTATTCCCATAAGGGATTATGTCAGACATGGAATCAACATGGGATTTACAAGAAGACATTAAAGACAAGAGTTAGCAAGAATTTAATAATCTGATCTTTCTTGGAAAGTGCCATATAACTTAGGTTTAATAAACAAAGGAGGTGTGAAGTATAAGTAGCCTTCAAGCCAAAGGATATAATATTTCTGGGGATTAAAGTTTCATTGGCACTTGTATTTGTGAATAAAAGTATGCAATATTTATAAGCCATGTGCATAAAGATGGCATTCAAAAAGAAACAGCTAATGTCAAAAATCAATACATTTTTCCTGCTATACCAGTGGTTGTCAACCTGTGGGTCGGGACCCCATTTGGGGTCAAACGACCATTTCACGGGGGTCGCCAAACAACGCAGTTCGCCACTTTTCCCCCCTTTTTCTTAGCTGTGCTACTCCCTTTTATTCTATTGGCGTTTGAAAGCCATTAGAATAGACTCTCTTGAATAGAGTGAAAAGAGGCTCCCTCGGAGTTCGTGTTGCCTCCGCCTCCCAGCTGTTTTTGTTTCCTCGGAAACAAAGTGAAACGCCGCTACCATCTCCGCGCCTAAAATGATCGGGTGAGTGATTTTTAAAGCGGACAGAGCCGGATAAAGGATTTTACTTATTGAGTTTTATTTGCTTTTTAGTTTATGTTGATTTCTTTTTCTTTTGTTCTTTGTCGGTCTGGAGAGTGAAAGTAAAATGGCGATTTGAAAGTGTTTTTTTTTTTTTCCGGAAAGAAGCGAGTTAAACGGAATGTAATGGATTATATAGTTCTTTCTCTTTTAAACTTTCTAAACCTTTTTCTGAAAGTGGTTTTGTGGTTTTAAAGTTTCTTTTGGACTCTCCTTTGTTCTTTTTTAATTTTTGAGGATTTTAGTACTTTTTTTTAAGAAGGAAGAAAGAGGGAACAAGATCTTTTTAAAAAATGGCTTCAAAGAGGCAAGCAGTTTCTACAGTTCCTAAGGTGGCTTCTTCTCCTGCAATCTTACCAGTACAACAACCTAAAGCTACACCACCATCTTCTCCTCCTTTGCCAGTATTATCTGTACAAGACATGAAAGATATAATGGGAAATGCTGTAACCCAAATCAGAGAGGAAATGAAGGAGCTTCTAGATCAGAACAAATCTGAAATTAGAGGGGAAATGAAGGAGCTTTTAGATCAGAACAAAATTCAAATTAGAGGAGAAATGAAGAACCTTTTAGAGCAGAATAACACTATTTTGAGGCAAGATATAGTTATGGCTTTATCAGGATTGGCCTCTGTGGTTGAGAAGCTTGATTCTAGAGTGGAAGAGGTCGTAGACAAAGTTGATATCCTGGAAGATAAATTTGAAGGTATGGAAAAAAAGATGGAAATCTCACAAGATGATATTGCTATGTCTCAGTACAGGGAAATGGAATATGCCCTAAGAATCAGGGGTCTGAAAGAGGATATGAATCAAGATTTGATAGAGATTGTGGTTAATGACCTTGCTGTCGTTTTGAATAGGGAGAAAGATGGATTACGTAGAGAAGTGGAAAAAATTTACAGAGTTAACTCCTGGGTCGCAAAACAGAAGAACTTACCAAGAGATGTGGTGATTTATTTTGCAAAGAGATCTCTGCGCAATGAAATCATACAAGCTTTTTATAATAAGAGGTTCCAGATTGCTGCTCAAGATGTTATCATTTTAAAGGAGATCCCATCTAAAATTTTAAGAAATAGAAAAGATTTTGCTTTTTTAGCTAATGAACTTAAAACAAGAATGATGCCATTCAGATGGGAGATTCCGATGGGTATTGTTTTGAGCCATGCGGGGACGTGTTATAGACTTAACACAGTTACTAAAGCAAAGGAGTTTTATACTTCGGTCCTGGGAGCAGGCTCATCGTCATCCATGATTCAGAAAGTTCTGGATGCTAAAGAGGCAGAACAGCAGTCTGAAGGATTAGGTGTGATGGTTGCTGGAAAGTTACAGATGGAATGGTTGCGACAAACAGAGATCAAAGAGCAAAGAATGACCCGTGCAGCACATAGACGCAAGGAAAAGGAACAACAAAAGAAAGAAGTTAAAGAATCTCTTCAAGAAAGTGCTTCGTTGCCGGTGGGAGGAGCAAGACCCAAGAGTTCTGCAACACATTCTTCAATGGCAGACCTTCAGGCAGTCTTCTCCAGGCTTCTGGTTAAGGGAGATGGTAAAGCTCCTGACTTGGAATGTTAACGGCCTCAATTCCCCGCAAAAGAGAAAGAAAATCTTTTACTACTTAAAGCAACATAATAATGATATTATTTGTTTGCAGGAAACACATATTTTACTTAAAGATCAAAAATATTTAGTCAATTCTCGTTTGGGATCTCATTTTGTATCTTCTGCTCCTGGGAAAAAAGGGGGTGTAGTCATTTATGTTAAGCAAAACTTATCAGCCTGCTTGGTAGAATCTGATCCTCAAGGGAGATATGTTATGATTGAAGTTGGTTTATATGGTAAGAAAATACTTATAGTGGGACTGTATGCACCAAACCAACAACAGGAACAATTTTATAGATTGTTGCATCAGAAATTAACTTTGTTGGATTATAGATCTGTGATATTAATGGGAGACTGGAATGGTGTGTTAGATATACAAAGAGACAAAAAAGGATCTTCCACTTTTTTTAAACAGGCTAAACTACCCAAAGCTTTTTTTGACTTGAGAGAGGACTGGGAGCTGCGAGACTATTGGTGTGAACGTAACCAGGAGGAGAGAGACTTTACTTTCTTTTCAGATAGACATCAATCCTTTCCAAGAATTGACTTTTTTTTTATTACAACTGATTTATATTTTAGGGTAAAGAATGTAAAAATTTTTCCTAGGACGTTGACGGATCACAGTCCAATTTGGATGGAGTTGGTTGATGAAAAAGAGGAGAGGAGATCGTGGAGGGTGAATGAGAATTTATTTAGACAAGAAAAGAATATTCAAAAATTAAAGGAACATCTAAAGGACTATTTTGTTTTA